TCTGACTCTGACTTCTCTTTATGGAATTAAGTGATTATGGCCTACAAATCTCATAAAGCCAATGCATACATTCCTAACTTGAGTAGGCCTATACCATTATAACTGGTTTATATCAAAGAATAAAGATATTGTGGCTTTTATATCATACCTATTCAGTCTTCAATATTTTCTAACAGAATTAGAGACTAAATCTTTGAAAAGATATAGAAGAAAGAAATAAAAAATGCTATAATGTAAGACTTTTTACACACAAAACACACATATATATATATATATATATATATATATATATATATATATATAATAATCCAAGTGAATCCTGATATTTTAACTGGTGTCTGAATCCTATCACTACCCCCCATTTAGCACCATGAAACTCAGTTTCAGCTTTTATTTAAGATGATTTGTTGTGTCTTCAGTTATATTCTTCTTTCTCCCTTTCATTTTTTCATTTACTTTTTCATCTTTCTCTTTTCTTCAAAATGGCGTCATTTTGAATTTCTATTCTTTGTAATATATATAGAATAAACTACAACAATCAACCCCAAAATTGAATAAATAGCTTTAATTATCTTCCCAAACCAAAACAAAGCTATTAAATAAGCGATATAAACAAATTTTTACTACATTAATAAAAACACCGACTAATAAAATTAAATAAGTAAATATATGAGATAAGAAATAAAAAATAAAAATAAATAAAAACAAGCAAAACAATTTAACCCAAATAAATAAATAAACGACTTCCAGTAAAATAACTGCCAAAATAAACTACCCACAATGTACCACTGACACGTATATATAAATAACTGAGAAAATAACAGCACTCATGGCCTGACCTTTGCCTCGACTGCTCCCTAAAAAACATACCCATCCCATCTCCTTTCCATATATAAGCTAAAATTAATTGAAAAAACAAGGTTTCATAAAAAGAATGAGATGGAAAGCCCACTTCTTTTTAAACCAAGACCTTCACAATAACAATACACTCAAGGAAAAATATGACTTCAAAACCAAAAAATGCCTCCCCCCCCACAACAAAAAGAATTAGACGACTTTGAGAAAGACTTAACTGACCTAGTTAGAAACATAAAATTCCATAAAAAACAAGATGCATTTAAAAAAAACAAACTAAAATAAACAATTCAGCAAATGTATTTATCGCAGCTGACAAAACAAGAAATTTTTACAAATTAAGCCCTCCTACGCACAATAAATTACTCAAGAACAATATAATCAAAACATACAAAAAGGCACCAAAAACAATAGAACACGATATCAATAAGGAAGCTAAAACAATCACCCAAAAATTAAACCTAGATGATTGAATTTGCATCAGCGAGGCGCAAGCCTTTATCACACTAAAAGACCACAAAGAAAATTTCCAAACAACCCTACATGTAGACTCATAAATCCAGGCAAAAGTGAACTCGGTAAAATAAGTAAAATGATACTAGAAAGAATTAATTCTGAACTTAGGAAGTTACAAGTAAACCAGTGGAAAAACACAAAAGCAATTATTGACTGGTTCCACAGCATAAATAATAAACAAAATTGCCAATTCCTACAATTAAACATAAAAGAATTTTACCCATCCCTAACAGAATGTATGCTAGATAAGGCCATCAACTTAACTCGGGAACAAATAATAATAAAACCAAATGAAATCGACATCATTAAGCACTCCCATAAATCATTACTATTTCACAATGAAGAAGCATGGATAAAGAAAGATGGGATATTTGCCACTACAATGGGAAGCTTTGATGGTGCAGAGACATGCGAAATCATAGGTATTTACTTACTACACGAACTAAGCAAAATAATAAATAGAAATGACACAGGACTCTACAGGGACGACGGTCTCATAATCTTAAGAAATTGTAACAAACAAAACACAGACAAAACTAGAAAAGCAATAATAAAAAATTTCAATAATAACAGATTCGACATAGATATAAAAACTAACCTAAACGAAGTAGATTTTCCACATGTTACCTTAAACCTAAGAAAAGGCACATATAAACCATACAGAAAACCCAATGATAAACCACTCTATATATACACAGATCTTCCAACCACCCGCCTTCTATAATCAAACAGATATCAAAATCGATTAACTGCAGGCTTTCCGACAATTCCTCCAATAAATCCATATTTAACAAAGCTAAGAATGACTACGAAACAGCCCTAAAAGATAGTGGATTCCCAGCAACACTCACATACTCACCACAGAAAACCAAAAAGGCCAACAGGAAAAGAAATATCATATGGTACAACCCACCGCACAGCAAAAATGTAAAAACAAATGTAGGAAAAATATTCTTCAAACTCTTACACAAACACTTCCCAGAATCAAGCACCCTACACAAATATTCAACAAAAACACAGTAAAAATCAGCTACAGTTGCACTGAGAACAAATAAAAAAAAAAAAGCACAACAGGAAAATTATCAACAAACCACATGAACAAATTAAACCCACGTGCAACTGCAGAATAAGGAACGAATGTCCCTTAAACGGTAATTGTTTACAAAACAACGTAATATACCAAGCCATGATAAAATCACCAGATAATGAAGAAAAAGTATACATAGGAGTAACTGAAGGACCCTGGAAACAAAGAAATTATGCACACAAATAGTAAATATGCGAACAGCACAATGCTTTCTAAGTATATCTGGAAAATTAAAAACAAAACGCTCATCACACCAAAAATATCTTGGAAAATAAGGGAAAGATCATCAGCCTACAACTAATCAAAAATTTGCAAACTTTGCTTGGAGGAAAAAATAGCTATCATTACCTTCCCAGACCAAAATAAATTATTAAATAAAAGGTCCGAGCTCATCTTGATATGCAGACATGAAAACAAATTTTTACTACGTTACTTGAAAATCGAAAAATAAAAAAAATAAAAGAAAAAAAAACATGACAATAAAATAAATTAACTTGGACAAATTACCAAACCATACCCGTTAGAATAGGCGAAATAGAATAAAAAAAATAAAAAACAAAATCAATGAACCCAAATAAATAAAGTAAATAATAAACAAATTAACAAACCATTAAAACCAAAATATTAGTCAGACTATAAAAATCAAATCAAAAATTGCAGTAAAAAAAGTAGCTATAACTGTTAATATAATGATAAAAGAAAAATAAATACTACGTTACTTAAAAGTGTAAATAAAAGTATACAGTATAATAAATGAATAATAAAAAACAAGCAAAATAAATTAATCTAAATTCATCCAAATAAATAAATAAACCAACAAACTGATCCTGATAAAGTAACCGTTAGAAAAAACAAATAAAGATAATCAATCCAAGTAAATACATGAAGTAATAAACAAATTAAAAACTGCTCCCGCCAAAATAATAGTTTGAATAAACTACAACAATCAACCTCAAAATTGAATAAATAGCTTTAATTATCTTCCCAAACCAAACCAAAATAAAGCTATTAAATAAGTGATATAAACAAATTTTTACTACATTAATAAAAACACTGACTAATAAAAATAAACATAAATAAATATATAAGATAAGAAATAAAAATAAAGATAAAAAAATAAAAACAAGCAAAACAATTTAGCCCAAATAAATAAATAAACAAATAAACGACTTCTGGTAAAATAACCACCAAAATAGACTACCCACAATGCACCACTGATCCGTATATATAAATAGCTGAGAAAATAACAGCACTCGTGGCCTGACGGTTGCATGTAGCATGAAACAGACTGTCGCCTCTAAGTGTTGACTTCTATGTTCACTTTTATATTTACACACGCTCTATCTCTGATATTGAGCACTTTATCCCATAAATATAGCACATCTTAAGATTATATTTTTCTTATATATATATATATATATATATATATATATATATATATATATATATATATATACACATGCATGCAAATAAGAAATAAGTACTTTATAACAGAAGTTACAATATGATCATTTACAGGATGTGAAAGACATAACAAAAATAAAATTTCTATAATGTAAGATTCTTTTTACATATATAGTTTTGCAAATAAAAAATAACTACAAAAAATAAAATGACTTTCAAAAAGAAGTTTAGATGAATTTCATTAAAGGAAATGGTAAATTCACAGAAGGTATGTTAGAGTAATGGGTAACGGCTTGGATTGAGGAATCTGAGAGCTGTCTTTGAATTCCAGTTGAATCCATTTCATTCACTTACGTGCTAATAACACTTGGTATTAATCCACTTCTCCTGCCCCCAGCAATGGGTAGATAGCAGAACAGACCGAGTTCTATAGCCTTGGATGGCAACTGGTCTATGGCAGAAAGAAATGGCAACCTACTGTGGGGGGAAAAAAAATTTGCCTCGTCAGTCGTGTATCAAAAGATACGTGATTGCCTAAGCGTGTATTATGCATGGAACATAACTGACTGAAATACACAGTAGAAGAAGTAACAATAAAAATTCTATAATGCAAGACTTTTTACATAAAGTGTAAATTCAACAGGTGTCAGCATCTGTATAGTTTTTCTGACTCCATTGACCTCTTAATTTCTTCCAACTCTGACCCACAGCCCTGCTTAGCAATTTAAACAGACGTATTTTTTTTTTTTTAATTTTTATTTTAGTCAGTTTCACCCAAGTAAGGCAGTAAAGCCACTAAGACACAAGGAGGTTACTAAACCCCTTGTGTCTTAGTGGCTTTACTGTCTTTTTTTAATTTTATTTTTAGTCAGTTTCACCCAAGTAAGGCAGTAAAGCCACTAAGACACAAGTGTCTTAGTGGCTTTACTGTCTTACTTGGGTGAAACTGGCTAAAATAAAAATCTAAAAAAAAAAAAGAAAAAATAGTCTGTTTAAACTGCTTCTAGGAGGAAAAGTTTTTATAATAATTGACTATGTTTTGGCTGATAATAATAAAATTCAGGATAATATTAATAATAGAAAGATTTATTCTAATGTATTTTTATTTTATTCATTTTTTTTTTTTTTTTTTTTTCAGATTTGGGAATGGCTGCAATCATTGTGATATGCGTAGGATTCCTGCTTTTCATGATTATCTTGGGTGTTATCAGAATTCGTGCTGCGCACAAACGCACCCAGGTAGTTGCTGTGGATGAGAAGCAGGAAATGGAGTGGGACAACTCAGCTCTCAACATCACTGTCAACCCTATGGATCAAGTAAGAATTTTGATTTATCTTTTTTTTCGAAGAGAAAATGGAAGCACAAATATCCTCTCCCAAGGTTTATTCCTTTCAGAAAATTGAAACCTGTTGTTATATTTATAAGGTAGTGTTTAATTGAAGATACCAAAATTCTGTCCTGGGTAAGATGATAAACTACATCTGACAGCAAGGCCTCTGATCAGGAGGTTTTGAAGAGCATGGAACCAACTCCTAATTGCTGGTGTTCCCAGGTCCACCCTGACCTGGGGTGGTAGCACCTGTCAGGGTCGCAGCTATGGGCAAATAGTTAACCCACCCCCAAGGGGTCAAAACACTATGAAAGTTTAAAAATAGGTTTTAATACCAGCAATACTGTTTTGAAAAAAAAAAAAATGCAATGCCAAAATCAAGAGGCATGCTGGGATAGCAAAAAATACCTTCCAAAAGCTAAAGAAACAGGAAAATTTAATTGGAAACAAAGAAGCATATTTAAATTTTATGCTTAGATCAAAACTAGCATTTGGATAGGGAAAGATGCCTTCAAAAAGCTAAGCAAAGTATTAAGAAACAGAAAAATTGGAAGCAAAGAAGAGTACTGAATTACTAAAAGAGAAAATTGAAATTTCTAGAGCACTTATTGAGAAAAGAGGACTTGGAAAATGTAACACTCATAGGACATATTAAAGAGGGACAGGGGAAAGCAAGAAATCGTGGAGAGCCATGATTTCCTCACGTTCTAAAGGGACATGACACATAGACGACTATAAAGCCTATAATAATAAACCTCTTATGCCATCAAACATGGAAACTTGAAGAACAAAATTCTATGTTAGGTTTTGTCCCCCAAAAGAATTTCTTCATATAAATAAGGAATAATTACCAGGTCTGCTGTTCGGAAAGTTGGTTTACTGCCCTTCATGACAAAGACCCACCATACCAAGCACATTGTAGAAAACCATCCTTATTCCCTTTCTGTGCCATAGGTGAAATGTAAGTTCAGTTCTAACAGCTTCTTCCCATAAACTGCTGTTTTGTAGAACCAACTCCCAAGTGGATGCTTTCCCTAATCACTACAATCTTAACCTGTTCAAGTCTAACATTAATTGTTATCTTCCCCATATAACCCCATAAACTATGCGTCTGTGTAGTAGAGTTCGAATCCTCATCGTCAAGTGTTATATGGCGAACGAAAGTTTTTCTTCCTCCGTATGAGTACGAATCCGTGTCGTCAAGTGTTGTAGAGTAGTTTCATAGTGGAGTCTTGTATTTCACTAAGTCGGTCCTAAAATAGGTTCAACGTACAAACCGTTAGGAACTTGATATAATAGGTAATAGCGCAGCAATCTAGTTGTGGTGGCTGATACTTTAATATCCGACTCACGGTCGTCCGACATCGACTGACTGACCAACTCACAGAGTGGCTCAGCGACTACTACATTACTCTTACTACTCCTACTTATTATAGGTGGGAGAGTCTATTAACTATAGAATAGGTGTGTTCCACTATAACAGTCTGACTCTGGAATACTCTACTTTGAGTGACTCTTCCTTTTTATCTCTCAATTTTTCATCCACTCATGACTTTTTTTCTTTATTTTTTTCATTTTTTCTTTTCACTTATAAATATGTAAGATAGGTTCTGGCAAGAAAGTGATGAGTTCCCTGTACCGCACCAGTAAGTACCTGACTCCTCCTGTTATACTCTACGTTTACAAGAGCCAGACCAGAAAATGGACTACTGCTGCCATATATGGGCTGGAGCTAGCCAGTTTTTATTTCCAAGTCTCGATAGAGTCAAAAAACATCTCCGCGTCCTTGTGGGTGATGAATTATGGGTATCCTTGTGATTGATATCACAAGCATCACACTGCTCCATCACTATTTCCATGGAAAGTGTTCTAATTAACTTCATTCCTTCATTCCCCCAGTGTCTAATCTTCGTGGCTAAGACCTGCCATGTTATCCACATTGTAGTGAACCACCCTCGTTCACTTTTGTAATTCCATTCAGGAGATGTGCGTTGTGGGGTAATGGATATCAGCTCCGAGTTCTCACTCAGAGAGCCGAGTTTGAATTCCATGCGAGTTCCTTAGGCTCACTTATACACAAATACCCTTGGGAAAGGCATGAATCCATCTTTTCTCCTCACCCTAGCTATGCATTGAATAGCAGGACAGACTGGGTTCTTTAGCCTTGGTTGGCAACCAGTCTATCGCAGAAAGAAATGGCAACCTATTGTGACAAAAAAATCTGCCTCATCAGTCATGTATCAAAAGATACATGATTGCCCAAGTACGTATCACGTATGGCACTTAACTGACTGAAGAGCCACTCAAGCAGTTTCTTCCCATCAACCACTACTTTGTGGATCAGACTCCCAAGCAGATGCTTCCCAGATCACTACAATTTTAACCTGTTCAAATATAGTCAACCGTTATCTTCCTCACATATCCCCATAGACTGTGCCTCTTAATCTACTTTGAGTGACTCTTGTACAGGGTGAACTTCATTGTTAAAAAAAAAAAAAAAGATATGAATCTATTTTTTTCTCCAGCTGAGGTGTTGAATAGGACTGGGCTTCCTAGCCTTGTTTAGTAGCCAGTCTAGATGAAGGACAGTACTGAATTCAAAACTTGCAGTGGCACTGGAACAATCGTAATGTCTTGCATACCCAACTAGCAGAACAGTGACGTTTGGTCAAGGTGCTATGTTGCACATTTAAAAAAGAAAAACTGGATGAGAAATCTAAAGTTCTCAAAATTCAAGTTCAAATTCACTTTTGCCCAAATACCCTTGGGAAAGATATGAATCCATCCCATTTCTTTTCAGTTACTTATAGCAGGGCAGGTTGGGTTCTTTAGCTGTGGTTGGCAGCCAGTCAAGGAGATGAACATCTCGGAATTCAAAACTGTGTAAACCCAGGCAATAACCCATACAATACAGCCATGGAAAAAAGTCCAAAAATAACAATTAACTAGAGTATGGGGTTGTGGACTATATAAACTTGAATTCTGATAGGTAGGTGTAAACATTATATTTAGTGTGTAAACGTCCTCACCCCAGGGCTCTATCTTTTGACCTATGTTGTTTCTGATATTTATGAATGACCTTCCAGATGTAAACTTTGTGTCTATGCTGATGACACAACTATTTACTCCCATCTTAAGGTCAAACTGGCAGCTGTTGTCAAAAAATGACCTACATTCTGTCGTTAACTGGGGCAAGGAATGGCTTGTTAATTTTAACACTTCCAAAACAAAACTGCTCTCTTTTAATTGTCTGATAATACTCTTTTCGCTTTCCATTAGCATGGCTGATGCTAACCTCCAGGAAAGTAACTCGACGTTAGAGGGAATCTATTATTGGGTCTGTTGCTAGGAAAGTCTGTTCACTGTGCCATGCCTGACAATTTTTTTCACTCAAATCTATCTTGCATATTTATAAGTCTACCATTTATCCTTGCTTTGAATATTACTGCCACATATGGCCTGGTACTCTTGCTGCATATTTAGAGATCCTTGATAAAATACAAAGAATCTGCAATTTTATTAGTACTAATTTGGCATCTCAGTTTAAGTCACTTTCCGTCATCTGTAATGTAGCTTCCCTGTGACTTTTCTTCAAATATTTTCCTGGTAATTTTTCTGAAGAGCTTTTCTCTATGGTACTACTACTGTACTGATGCGGCATTCACCCTGGGCGGATTGAGCCGGCTTCTTCCTGTTATGAGAAGAAGATTCTTGGGATAAATTACAGAAGTAGGGTACCCAGGCCTACTCGGATAACGTTCTTGCTTGCCGCGGGGTTCCCACAGACGCAGAGACAGGAACGACCAGAAGCCGCCGGTTACCGATGCAGACGCTCCTTGGATTTTCACCAGAGCCCTTGTTAGCCGGCGTGTGTGTCAGACCTGTCCGCCTTGGGTGGCCCTACCAGGAACGAAGTTCCGGGCGGCATATCTCTGACACTACCGTTTACACCCCCCCACACTGACTGTGAGGTAAGGGTTGGACTTTGGGGGCTTACAGTACCAGGTGTTCCAAAGTGGTCCCCCATCTAAGTACTGACCTGGCTCTACGCTGCTTAACTTTGGTGATCGTACGAGAACCGGTGTTTCAGCGTGATTTGACCGTAAGCTATTTCTCTATGGTACCTAAACTTTAAGCACAGTTCTAAATTGGCAAGATGTAAATTCTATGCTAACAATTTCTATTCACACACTTGGGGTAACTTTCTTCTGATTCTTGCTTCCTAGTCGACTTCGAAAAATGCACTATCAATCATTATCTTCTATCTTTTCAATTCCTGTTCTTTTATTGTTTTTCGTTCCTTAGTAATGTTTCTTTTTTTTTTTTTTTATATTCTTTCATTCTCAGTACCTGCTCCTTTGCATCTTAGTGGCTTTGTTGCCTTGCTTTTCTGAAACTAATTTTTAATTTTTTTTTTTTTTTTTTGCTTTCAGCCTTATGGTGGATCCGATAGCGCCATGCAAGCATTGCGTATTGCTGACAGTGATACTGATGATGATGATGATAGCTGTCATGACAGCTCTGATGAAGAAGTGATGGAAAAGGGTACCATCACAGCTAAAACTGGCCGAGAGCTCGAGTGGGACGACTCCACATTATCTTTTTAAATTTGCCTACCGCACACAATGTTTAAAAGAAAGAAGAAAAAAATAAACAAAATGAAAGAATGCATATAACAAAAAAAAAAAAAAAAAACAAGACAGAAATTAACGTTTAAAACTCTAGATATTAAAAAAAGGAGGTGATTCATAATACAACTGCAGAAATAACAGTGAGACATTAAAGAACAAAGGATGTACATTTTTTTCCACTTATTTCGCAATGCTCCTATCTTAGCTGAATTAGTAGCAGAACAAAATCTGCACTAAACGAAATAACACTTTATTCAATAAAAGGGGTTTAATATTTACTTGCGATTAAATCTGTATTAAACGTTCTTTTGTCTTAGTTGTGACCACCGTATTTTTATCAAGGTTATTACGATACTAAGGGCACCAAAGCTACTTATTTGTTTATTTGTATACACATATACACACACACACACACAGGATTATTTTTTGCAAAAAAAAAAAATGTAAAGAAAAATAATATTTAGATCTTTTTTTTTTTTTTTTTTTTTTTTACTTGTGGGAGGAAGAGCTGGTTGTTTAAACATTCCATTATTAATTTTTGGTTATTAATTAACTAATTAATTATTCTCACTGAAAACAGATGCATTTGCTTACAGATATTTCTTATATGATATGATACATGTCACAAGATATTTTTTCAATGTAACTGAAATAATTGACTGAATATTTTTGAGTTTTATTCATATTTTTAATATCTATCTAAAGACATGCAGTTTTATTTTTTCGTTGAATGTTCAGTGTTCAACCACAAAATAAAACTCTAGTAAACCTCTTAATGTATATTCTAGCTTCAATCTTGTTCAAATTCTTGCTGACATCTTTTATTTTATTTTATTTTTTTTCATCCTGTTCAGAGAAATTTGTGATAAAAAGCTTTCTCACAAGTGATTAAAATTGGACTGAACTATTACAATAAGTAGTTTTATCCTTTTGTTACCTTGTCAAATATATCTTGTGGGCCTCATTTTCTTTTTTAAAATTTACTTTTTAAGATATGATTTTTGCTTTTGGGATTGTTTGCTTTAATAATATGAAAACAGAATTTTGCTTTTTACCTTAAACTGCTTACTCTATGTGGAAATAGTTTGTTTTTTTTAACTTTCCTATGATTCTCATGTATAACTTGATATGGCGATCAACTTGGCCTTTCTTTCTTTTTGTTTTCTGTGGAGAATTTCATATATATGAAAAGAAATTTGAAATTGGTAAAATTATAACTAAATCATTTTTTTGAAAAAAAAAAAAAATTCTCAAAAAAACCAATATAGCATTTGAAATATCTGTCTATTTCTGAGATGAGGTATTGTAATTATTTACACTATTTACAATGTTCGGACTGTTGTCCTCATATTCACGACATTTCGACCGTTGTATGCTCCAGAGGTTGGAATTTTGAACTGAACCCTTTATTTCGTCCACTGGGGGGAGATTGTTCTAGTTCCACATGCCATGCCTATTCCAGATGTCTCAGTATCAGTTATCTCACTTTAACTCAAAGATACATGGCCCAGTGGATAAAAGCATTGGCTGAATCCAGTGATTTGACCCAAGGGGTTGTGAGTTCAATACTTGGCGATGGCTGAGGTGAACAAAAACCTTGGACAGTTGAGTTACAGTGAGACATATGGAAGAGGCTTGGCATGTGGAACTAGAACAATCTACCCTGGTGGATAAAATAAAGGATTCAGTTCCAAATTTCAATCACCTGAAGAAGGCCGGAGCATACCACGGCCAAAATGTTGTGAATGTGGCAACAAAGATGAGGACAAGAGTCCAAACAATGTAAATAATGTACATAATAGCATTTTCAAGTTGGCATTAAAATGAAATATGAACTTTAGTTTTTCGGGATGTTGGTGCTGAGAGAAATATTTTAAAACAGATTGTTGAATTTTCATCGGCTCTGATCGTTTCACTTCTTGGGATGCCCCTCATGGATTATTGTAAGTTTCATCGATTTCATTTTCTATACAGTGGCGTCAGGCTCAAACGGCTTTTGGAAAAAAATTTCCAACTCTGAAAATCTGAGTTTTATTTTACTTCTGTTAATATTTTAATGCCCCCAAGATTATCAACATTGACTCTTGTGTAGAATGCTCAGCACAAAGTCTAATACTTCATCTTTTAATGTCGTTTATTACAAAGTCTTTAGCATGTTAAATTCAACTGCTTCGAATCTTAAGTTTTTAAATATGCTTTTGTTTACAAGGCAAATAAAACAAATTGTTTTATAATTTTGATGAACATCTAATAAGGCTTTTGAAACTATACAGGTTTTTTTTTTTTTTTTTTTTTTTATAGATTATCATTAATTTGAGATAGGGAAATATAATTTTAAAAAGGTACTTGTGAATATGTTTAATTGAGCTTTGATTTCCAGTTGATTATAGAATTGGTCCAACCAACATTTTTGTGTCTTATCTGTTTTATTGTGTTTAATGCAGGATAAAAACCAAAAAATATGGAAAAGGAAAGAGAGATAAAAAAATAAACTCTTTCTTTTTCTTGATCTTCAACACATTTTCAATAAAAATAAAGGATGAAAGATTAAGAATTAATAGAGAAAATGATTTTAAATTAAAAAAAAAGACATTTATCATGCTAAATAATTTCCTAAATATTTAAATGATAAAAAAAATATTAGTTAAATATAAGCAAATTGCATGGCATACTGATGTCTTTTCTCTGTATTATTTGTTTCAAAGACAGAAATTATAATTAAAACCAACTTTCCTTTTTCTTTTTTCCTTTCTTTTTCTTTTTTCCTTTCTTTTTCTTTTTTCTTTTTTCCTTTCTTTTTCTTTTTTCCTTTTTCTTTCTTTCTTTTTTCCATTTTCTTTCTTTCTTTTTTCCTTTTTCTTTTTTCCTTTTTCTTTCTTTCTTTTTCCTTTTTCTTTTTCTTTCTTTCTTTCTCTTTCTTTCTCTTTCTTTCTTTCTCTTTCTTTCTCTTTCTTTCTCTTTCTTTCTTTCTCTTTCTTTCTTTCTCTTTCTTTCTTTCTCTTTCTTTCTTTCTCTTTCTTTCTTTCTCTTTCTTTCTTTCTCTTTCTTTCTTTCTCTTTCTCTTTCTTTCTCTTTCTCTTTCTTTTCTTTCTCTTTCTTTCTTTCTCTTTCTTTCTTTCTCTTTCTTTCTTTCTCTTTCTTTCTCTTTCTTTCTCTTTCTTTCTTTCTCTCTCTCTCTTTCTTTCTTTCTCTTTCTCTCTCTCTCTTTCTTTCTTTCTCTTTCTCTCTCTCTCTTTCTCTCTTTCTCTCTCTCTCTTTCTCTCTCTCTCTCTTTCTCTCTTTCTCTCTTTCTCTTTCTTTCTCTCTTTCTCTCTTTCTCTTTCTTTCTCTCTTTCTCTTTTTATTTTTCTGTAAAGTTAATGTGTTTGCAGACAATTTTTTTTTTCAACTTTTGAGAAACCCACCTAGCAAATTTTATTTTTGCACTCAACAGAGAAAAAAAGAAAAAAATCTTTTCTATAGCTATTTTTGATTCTATTCAGATCATGCCAAAAAGCAAGTTCTTTGATTTTTATAATACAAGTATACAATTACAGAAACCCACCTGACAAATAAGGCTTTCGAATATTGCTGATAATTTTGAGAACAGTTATCATTCAAAGAGATTTTTGAAAAACTGATTTTTTTTATTTTTTTTAAATTTCATTTTTTCATTTTGGTTTATTCATTCTACAGCCTTCCTCAAATGTACTGTCTTTTATTTATTATTTATTTTTAGTAGTGTGAAATGATAAGCAGATACAAAATTTAAACATTGACAGGAATGCTTGTAAAATCAGTTCTTTACTTAACAAGTATATGGTAATGACTTTGTTGCTTAACACAGAAACGAATTGACAATATTATTTTGTTAAAAATTATGGAACAAGTTATACTGCAAGTGTTACTGAAACCGGAATTGATTTTACAAGCATTATTGTCAATGTTTAAATATCTTTGCTACCTTTCTTCTTTGTGTAAAAAAAAAAAATCTTTTCATACACGTAAAATATCTGAAGAAGATAGTTGAATGAAATAGCAAAAATAAAATTTAAAAAATTCAAAAATTTCCTTGAAGTTAGTTTTACTATTTTGTTTTTTTGTTTTTTTTCAAATATTCAACCATTATGAGTATTTTTTAAAACACCACCATGTTTGTTTGTTTTTTTTTTTGTTATTTTTCTTCTTCTTTTTTTTTTTTTTAATTATTTTATTTTGAAACTGCCTATCGCTCTATAAAAATTAATTAGAAAAATAATACAGCTAGAATTTTGAAAAATAATTATAAAACGCTAGCATTTATTAATCATTTTTTTTCCTCCATTTTGTTCTTAATTTTATGCATGTTGCTTTGGGTACTCTTGGACAAGGAATTAAACCCTCACCCCCTCTGTTTTATATCAAATCTATCATCTTCCATTTCAACCAGCAGATCAGCTAAAAATATTTAAGACAGATTTGAATTTATGGTTTTTGTATCTTGAGAATGGAACAGTTTATTTAAATCATTGTCTTGAATGACTTACAGCTTTTTCAAGTAGATTTCTTTGGGGTGTGTGTGTGTGTGTGGGTATATATATATATATATATATATATATATATATATATATATATATATAAAATCTTAGTTTCGACTATTCTAAAATCAATTTTGTTAAAATTGTATTTTTAAAAATATTCTCGATGGTTTTTTGTGCTAATTGTGCATTTAATTCTAGTTTATCCTTGCTTGAGTGTTCTGCAGACCAAATTAAATTTTGTTCTCTTATCTAAGGAGTCTTTCTTGAATTCTGGAGGTCATTGTTTCTTTTAACTTTGAGATCAATGTCTAATTGTTGTAAGCAATTCAGATAATTACACTTCAGCTATGTAATATTGGTAATTCTGACATTGTTCTTAACACTTTTTTTTTTTTTTTTTTTTTTTTTTTTTTTTTTAAGGAATTTGAAAGTGAAAATTAATTTTAGAATTCTAATCAGTCCTTCAAGCTGACAGGTGCACAAACAATTTAAAAAAAATATTTTTCAAAGCATTAACGAGTTCCTTGGACTTTCAATAAGCCCTACATTTTAGATCCAATGGTTTTTTTATTATTAATGAGTTCCTGGGACTTTCAATAAGTACTACTCTAATGGGTTTTAAAATGCAAAGTAATTTATTTAGGAATGTGACAAAAATATCCCACCATGATAGTGCAAAAAACAGCTAGGATAAATTAGAAAAAAATTGACAGTTGGTTTTATTAACAGCTATTTTTCCATATTACAATCAGAAAAGTTAAAATAAATGCAAATGATTCTGTAAATCTGTTTTTGTTTAAAAAGTTTTTAAAAAAAAATAAATTTTGCAATTAAAATGATAAAAAATATGAAAATACTGAAACTTACAAGTTATTACCCTCACACAAATGTCTTTTTGTTTTTTAAAGTTTATATTAACTTATTTTTACAATTTTAGTTTTGCTTAAAAGTTAAATATACACTCTAACTCTCTTGCAGTTACACCGAACCCCTTGGTGGAATTGTTGAGTTAGTTAAACATATTTAGATTACACTACGGAGCAAAAACATTTTAACCCCAGTAACTAGGAGCTACCCGCTTCATGAAAGTAGAAAAAAAAAAAAAAGACCTGAAAACCTCCTTCCAGAACTGACTTCTATTTGTTCGTGATAAGTGAGTATTTAACAAAACAGAGGGCTATTCATGTGGGCATGATATACCTGCATCGAACAAGAATGTCCTTGTTCAAAGATTACAGCAACATGAAAATGCTAGCGCTTCTCTCTACATTCAACCAACCAATCAACCAACCAGACTGGACGGACGAGGTGTACTTATTTGTTCTGTTGGATATTTTCCCTTATTCTTGTTATTGTTGACAGGTAAATTTTCCTAGTGAGATATTTGGTTGAAACGCCGTCCATGTTTCGGCTACATTGTCATCAGGTTGCCTCCTCCTCCTCCTCCTCCTCCTCCCATTGGGCCCCACCTTCCTCTGTTCTCATCATCTTTATAACAAGACCGACACTTCATCCGTGTCCTTTTCTGCACACCCGTATATGTACGCAGCTATATACGCGTGGGCATTAAACATACACATACACATATATACTCACTACATCTGACTGACACTTAATTTGGTCTTACCAGCTTATAATAAAGGCTCGTACGTCTTTACTTGAATGACTGGAACCAAAAACTGCTGTTTTATTCCCCGTTTTTACCCCACCTCCTGTATCTTAATTAATCGTCACTGGACCGTTTTAATGTTTTTTTTTTTCTTTGATTTGTTTATTATTATTATTATTATTATTGTTGTTGTTGTTATATATTTTGCTTAACCTTTCATAGCAGGGGTCATTTTTTTCACCCCTTTTAGGTTGTGAACAGCCATTTTGCTAAATTATATGTAATGTTTTTTTATATATATATAATTTTATATATCAAACAGTATTTAGAAAAATACTATGACAAACTGGAAAAGTTTTTGTGACGTGTTTCATCTGTGAGGATTTCATCCAATAGGTTTTTATTGATGTTGCCACATCTACACATGCACATAAAACGAGAGATGCTGGTAGTTTCAAAATTTTTTGAAAAAAGAAAATATTCTTTGAAAAATTTTGAAACTACCAGCAATAACATCAAAAGCCCAGTCAGATGAAATGTGACGTAATAACTTTTTTTCTCCCAATTTGTCCTATTATTTTCTAAAAAAAAATGTGTGTATATATATATATATATATATATATATATATATATATATATATATATATATATATATATATATATAGGAATAGATTTTTCATTTATTAATCTGACATTTTAATTTATTGCTTAAACTTTTAAAAAATTTTTTTTTTTTTTTTTTTATGGATATCCATATTTGAGAAGATGCTTTGTTTAATTTATTTTGATCTACAGGCCTGAATATTTGAGAAATCTTATTAGAAAAATATGCTGGAGAACGCATATTTTTCTAATATGATTTATCAAATATTCAGGCCAATTGATCAAAATAAATAAATATACTGTTTAATAAATAAACAGGTCATCTACTCAAATATTGGTATCCATATAAAAAAAAAAAAAATTAAAATTAAGTCACATTTAAGCAATAAATTAAAAATATATATATATATATATATATATATATATATATATATATATATATATATATATATATATATATATTTTTTTTTCTTTAATTTTTTTGGATGACATTAAATTTGATTGGTCCAGTATCTGATTTTTTGCAACCCCACCCCTTTTACAGTAGGCCGGCCATTTTAAAGGAATCGCCAATCACCAGGCAAACAGAATTTGAAGAGAAAAAAATAAAAAATAAACAAAAAGTGTTTCCTCAATATATATATATACTTTTATTTCTTTTTCTACCCAATAAATCCGAGTTCTCGTATGAAATATCCAAAACTTCAAAAAAAAAAAAAAAATGATTTAATAGAAATCTTTCCTTCATACTGACTTGTCATTTTTCTCTGTCTCTCTCTCTCTCTCCCCTGGTATTCGAATTTTTGGCAATTTTTGCCGCAATTTCTCCATGAGGAGAAACTCTTTTTTCCATTACCTTTTCGTTTCTTGCTTCTGCTATTTCCAAAATACGCTTTTGATATGTTTAATATTTTGATATTTCGTATTTGTTATGTGGGAATGATGTTGTACATCTTCCCTGGCACTTTCCATATCTGTATCAATAAAGTCGCTCCTCTCCAGATCTATTTGACTCCCCTTGCCAATCCCCACCCCCCTTACTCATGTTAGATTTATATATATATATATATATATATATATATATATATATTCTTGTGATGATTGCAGTTGGAATGCTATCATCAGTAACATTCCACCTCTCCGTTGCACTGATGATGTTGTTGTTGCTGTCTTTCTCTGTCAGCTGCCAGAGCCTGACTGACTGGGTTTCTCATTGATTTGACTGCAGCTTGTTGACCATCACATAAGTCACAAGACAGTAGCCCCAACACCCAACCCACAATTCTCTTTTTTTCTCCTTTAGTCAACTACTGTTTTTTTTTTTCCTTTTTTTTTTTTTTTTAAAAAAAAGACTGTATTCTTTTATCCTCACCTTGATCTGTGTATTGTCTTCCTGTCAATAAAAATAGTCCACAAACAAAATAGTTATTTTTTCTTCTTTTTTGTCATCCTTTCTTTTTTCTTCTCTCTCTTTCTTGTTCTTTTCTTCTCTCTCTTTCTTGTTCTTTTCTTCTCTCTCTTTCTTGTTCTTTTCTTCTCTCTCTTTCTTGTTCTTTTCTTCTCTCTCTTTCTTTTTTTTTTCCTCTCTCTTTCTTGTTCTTTTTTTCTCCTCTCTCTTTCTTGTTCTTTTTTTTTCTTCTCTCTTTCTTGTTTTTTTTTTCTCCTCTCTCTTTCTTGTTCTTTTTTTCTCCTCTCTCTTTCTTGTTCTTTTTTTCTCCTCTCTCTTTCTTGTTCTTTTTTTCTCCTCTCTCTTTCTTGTTCTTTTTTTCCTCTCTCTTTCTTGTTCTTTTTTTTCTCCTCTCTCTTTCTTGTTCTTTTTTTTCTCCTCTCTCTTTCTTGTTCTGTTTTTTTCTTCTCTCTCTCTCTGTTTTTTTCTTCTTCTTTTTTTTGTTTTTTTTTCTCTCTCTCTTTCTTGTTCTTTTTTTTCTCCTCTCTCTTTCTTGTTCTTTTTTTTCTCCTCTCTCTTTCTTGTTCTGTTTTTTTCTTCTCTCTCTCTTTCTTGTTCTGTTTTTTTCTTCTCTCTCTCTTTCTTGTTCTGTTTTTTTCTTCTCTCTCTCTTTCTTGTTCTGTTTTTTTCTTCTCTCTCTCTTTCTTGTTCTGTTTTTTTCTTCTCTCTCTCTTTCTTGTTCTGTTTTTTCTTCTCTCTCTCGTTCTTTTTTCTCTTTTTCACTCTCATTATTGTTTTCTCTCTTTTTCTCTACCCTCTCCTTCTTTTTCTTCCGCTTTTATTTCTTTATTCCTTACTTACTTTCAACCCGCAGAGGGCCGATAAGCCATAAAAACCCTATCAATCCTTATTTTCTTTTCATTCTCCATTTTTCTCCTCAATTTGTGTAATTTAAATATATATCACCATAGCATTTTTTTTCTTTATTGCATCTACAAATTCTTGACTCACTGCAATTTCCTGCCAGAGTAAGATGACCCAAGGCGAAGAAATTTCTTACACAATATCTCGTCGGTTAATAAGCAGGTAATCTGTACTCACATTCACACCTAAAACCACATCTTGAGTATTATCTTTCTTTAACCTTGCGTTAGTCTCACGGTGTGTTTTCTTACCTCTAAATTATTAAAGTACTCATAATTCCTAGTTGGTAACTTGTTTCTTTTACTCCCCCCCACTATTCTTCTGATCCAGTGGGGATATGTAGCATTTGGTGTGGTGCAGTTGTAGCTCAGCTGTCTCAGAAGGCAGACTATCCATTTTTGGATATCCGGAGTGACTAACGCAAGGTTAAAGTATTGAAAATTCATATAGAAAAAAGAAAAATGACCATATTAAAAATTATGAATAGAAGTATTTATTCAAAGAAATTTAGATGACTTTAAATGTTTCTTTTCTCTTTTTCTTTCTTTTGCTTTTTTTTTTTTTTTTTTTTTCGTCTTTTCTTTTTTTGTTTCTCAGGTCAAGGTTTTCATTTTATTCTGAAAGAAAAGCAAGGAAAAAAAAAAAAAAAAAAAGTAAAGGTTAGATCAATTTAAATTTTTTGAAAATTTTCACCTCTGGTATCTTTTCCTGCATGAAAATGTGAGGAAACGTTTTCATTTTGAATTCAAGAAGATTAATAACAAAAAAAAATTATAATCCGGAATTTGAATGAAAGCAGTGATGGGACGTACACTGAATCCATTTTAAAAATTCAGGATGTTGACTTAATAATTATCATCTGATCCATATACCTTGGTATATGAATACAGATTAGTATAAAAGATAAAGAAATTGAATATAAAATAGGTTGCTTTGGAAATAGTTTTGCCCAGCACCACAAATTACTACAAAACAAAAACATTAACTTTTAGCAGTGAGTTATGTCAGATCAAGGCTTTCATATATAGTAGCGGCCATAATATAAGGAACGGAAACAACAAAGACATAAATATATGTATTACTTAAAAAGTAATGCATGATTAACAATGGAATTTTTACCGAATAAAGATTAGGGTGTAATGCATAAATATTATACAAAGTTAGAAAAAATTTACATAATAGTTTTTTTTTTAAATAAAGATTAAATGGAACAAAGGAAATAAGCTACTTGACAAAAGTTAAGGAACGATGTTAATAATTTGCATTAACTTTTAATTTACATTGTTAAAAAAACTCGGAGCTTTTCAACAATAAGTAAAAGTTCATTTATCATTAGGACTTTATTTTTAAGCCATATGGCAAATTCTACACGCAAAACGCTCTCTTTTGAAGAAAAAATAACTCATTATCGCTAACTATCAAGAAAAAAAAGTCAATTTCAGAAATTTCTGATATTGTTCATAGGTCTAAAAGTGTCGTTCATCGTCTAATTAGCAGGTATAAAACCGATAAAACGTTAGATGCAAAACCAAAAATCGGCAGACCTCCAAAAACATCGCAAAATTTTATTCGGTAAAAATTTCATTGCTAATCATGCATTACTTTTTAAGTAATACATATATTTATGTCTTTGTTGTTTCCGTTCCTGATATTATGGTCTCTACTGTAGAGGTCCTGCATATTCAGAAATATCTAGACTGTCAGCATTCTGAGATCAATAATTAAAATATCTTTGAACAGAGGAAGTCAGTAGGTCTTCTTTGAACCGTGTTGACTGGTGCTAAAGCATCTTAAGCCAGAAATCTTAGTAATGAGTATTTCCGAGATGTAGAATTTAATGTAATTGGACCAAAATTATTACCTTATTATATTGGGTACACACTAAATGTGTTTTTTTTTCCTTCTATTATGTAAGGAAGGATGCCTGCCAAAAAGATATTTTTGGTGGTCGTTGTTGTAAAATTTTTTTTTTTTTAATCAATTCACCCCAAGCAAGGCAATAATGCTGCTACGATACAAGGGGGGAAATGAAAGAGAAGAAGACTTTAGAAGGAACCAGAAATGCAGTCCTAAACAAGAAACAAGAGATGCCCCCCCCTACCGCTGCGCAAAAAAATTAGAAAGGAGTGTAAACTGGACAATAGATGAACTCCTATGGAAGGAAAAAAAAAAATGGTAAATAAAATTTCGGAGTTTAGGTGGAGACGTTAGAAGTATTGAAGTAGACCTTTAACCTTATTAATATGACTTCCCTTTCCACTACATTCTTCTTCAAGGCCTCTCAAATGCAGTATCCTTATTATTGATTCCACTCAGTTGTTTTCTGTTACCATAGCAGGATATGACAACACAGCTATGAAATTCAAACACACTATTAGTTCAGGGATCAGAGTTACTTTCAGTGGCATGATACAGCAAATGAAGTCACTTGCAGAATGATAAAGGTTAAAGGAACAGGAAACGAGCTAGACCTCCTGTTAAAAAAACTGGGGAGGAGTGTGAACTGGACGATAGACAAACTTTACTACTATTAAAAGGAAAAAAAAAGTAAATATAATTTCAGAGTTCAGGCAGAGACATAAGAAGCATAGAATGGAAGTAGACTTTAAAAGGAACCAAAAGCCCAACCCTAAACAGGAGACAAGGGATAAACCTCTAATCCTGTTCAAACTACTGGGTAGGAGTGTGAACCTGATGGTAGGCGAACCTATCTACTCCTATTGGGGGTGGGGGGAATAAATAGAGATGTTAGAAATGCAGATTGGATCAAAGTTTAGAAGAAACCGGAAGCCCAATCCTAAACTGGAAACAAGGGATAAACCTCTACTCCTGTCCAAAAAAACAGAGAATGTTTGAAGAATATGTAAAAAGGTATTAATTTATTGATGAAAACCACGGCTTTTAATGTCTTTGATGTAGAACTCACAAATGCAGGGTTAGCAGTGAACACGAAAGGATAAGACAATGAAAATAAACTGGGTAAAATGGACAACGTCACACCTAGAAGCAAATGAAATATTTTGGCACATCTAAATGTTTTTTTTAGAAAGTGTAATTTAAAAAAAAAAATGAATATTAAAACAAAGTATTTAAAATAACGTAATCGAAGAATAGTGAAAATACTTATTTGAAAATGTTTGATACTTATTCATTTATTCAAATACTAATACTGTACCATTATTAATACCACACACACATATATATATACTGTGACTATTTCACAGCACACTTAAGTGAATCACGTGTCACAGTATTGTGCCGCCTCACGGCGGTTGAGAATTACTAGTCTAGGCGGATATGTTAATAGTATAGAGTTGAAATAGACTTTAGAAGGAACTGGAATCCCAGTCCTAAATTGGAAACAAGGGCTAATCCTCTGTTTCTGTCTAAAAGATCAGCGAGTATTTTGAATTGAATGATTGAAACAAAGTCATATATTAAGCTGTTATAAGTAATTTCCGCTTTTAAGAGACAATTGTAAGTAATGCGAACGTATCATCCTAATTAATCTCTCCCTAACGATATCATAACAGGTGATGAAAAGTGGATTGCTTACAACAATGTTCAACGCAAAAGGCACATTGACAAGGATAAATCTCCATAACCTCCCGCAAAAGTTGCGTTCCGTGGTAGAAAGATAATATACAAGTGGTGCGATTGTTGGGAAATTATTCATTTAGAGTTCTTAAAATGCAATTAAACACTAAATGCGCATTTATACTTTCAGTAGCTGCAACGTGTTCATACAAGTTTGGTCGAAAAGTAACCTTCCCTTGTCAATAGGAAGAATTTTGTTATTCTCCACAATAATGCAAGCTGCATATAGAAAAAAAATAACACCCGGAAAAATTTGGGAAATCAGTTGGCCCGTTCTACCTCACATACCAAACCGATTTTCCAAAAAAAAAAAATAGTATATACTAGAATATCCACCACCCGTTGGGTCACTGAGGGTTCAGGTTACGAAACTTTTGAAGAAAGTTGAAATAAAAATACTTACTGCATAAACAACTCATTTTTTAAATCTCATTCACTTTTTTAAAAATCAGATTAACTTCAAAATATTTTTTAATGTGCCAAAAAATATTTTTTAAATAATTAAAATATTGTCTATTTAAAGAAAGCTGGAATATAAATAATTACTTTACAAACAACTGGACGAAACAGAAAAGCATGATATCTTTGTGTCTGTCTTTAACTTAAAAATATTTTAATTAAAAAAAATCGTCTGTTTGAAAAAAGTTAAAATATAAATGCTTACTGTATAAACAACTCTTATTTTTAAATCTTATTCACTCAAAATATTTTTTTTTTAATCAGACTGGAATAGATAGATAGATAAGTATGAACAAACTAGAATAGATAGATGTGTCGACTTGAACAGTTTAACATATGATTCAGATAACTGTATTACTACAGTAGCCGGACTGAAGTATTCTTGATTAACAGGTTTTTCTTTTTATCTCTAATGGAATCTGAGCAGTCACGGTCCTCCACGGCTTCCTTCGCATTTATTTTTTTCTTTCTGGCCCTTTTTGGGAAAGATATGAATCTATCTATTCTCATCCCACTCACTTAAAAAGTAAGACAAATTGAGCCCCCTACACTGGTTCCAACCACGGTAACCAGTGTAGAAGGACAACAATGAATTCAAAACTCAGTCACCTGAAACCGTACGAAGATGGCTCGGCATGTGGGTGAAGATACTGTCAAACAAAGAAATAGGTTGCAGGGTAGAGAATGATCCATCACCCACAAGGCTACATAGATGCATTTGAGCTCTGTCAAGACTTGGCAAGTGAGGACTGGGCAACGCTAGCTTAGTTAGAGCAGCAATACTCCATTTTTGGTCTGACCTGACTCTTGTAAAGATAGAGTTTACTGGAGACGTACAAATGAACCAACCATTTTTCTAGCATTTTAAGAATTAGATCGGATATATGAGTTCCACTTCTGGAGAGACTTTGAGCCTCAGAAAACGTTTTGGTCACGTTTTGACTGTGGGATCAGCTTGGAGAATAATTCGCCTAAAGCACTTTTGAACTCAGTTGAGACTGGGCAGTGAGTAACTGGGAAGCAGTAGTCTAGATTTAGCAGTAATACTCCATTCTTGGTCTGATCTGACTCTTACGATGGCAATGGAAGTTTGGTTGAATACTGGACAATTACCTCACAGATGAAGAAGAGACTTGAAGCAATAGAAACAAAGAAAAGAGTACTGAACTGTTTCGTAATATCAGTCCTTCTATATGGCAGTAAATACTGGACAATCTCCTCACAGATGAAAAGGAGACTTGAAGCAAGAGAAACAAAAAAAAGAGTACTGAACTGTTACGTAATATCAGTCCTCCTATATGGCAGTGAATGCTGGACAATCTCCTCACAGATGAAGAAGAGATTGAAACAAGAGAAACAAAGAAAAAAGTACTGAACTGTTAAGTAATATCAGTCCTCCTAAATGGCAGTGAATGCTGGACAATCTCCTCACAGATGAAGAAGAGACTTGAAGCAATAGAAACAAAGAAAAGTGTACAGAACTGTAACGTAATATCAGTCCTCCTATATGGCAGTGAATGTTGGACAATCCCCTTACAGATGACGAAGAGACTTAAAGCAAGAGAAACAAAGAAAAGAGTACTGAAATGTTACGTAACATCAGTCCTCCTATATGGCAGTGAATGCAGGACAATCTCCTCACAGATGTAGAAGAGACTTGAAGCAAAAGAAACAAAGAAAAGAATACTGAACTGTTATGTAATATCAGTCCTCCGTATATGTCAATAAATGCTGGACAATATCATTCCATGAAGAGTAAATTTGATGCAACAGTAATGCTTTTCTATAGAAGAACGTTGAGAATACCATGGACCGAACATGTGAGCAATGACAAAGTTTTCGAGAAAATGGAACCAAAAATGGACACTTCTACTTAACATCAGGAAGAAACAACTGAAATTTCTAGGGTACATAATGAGAAAAGAGGACTTGGAAAAGAAGGAATTTACACAAGCTCGTCAGGTAAATTATGCGCTGCTTCCCTCTGTCTCTCTTGCCGTCAATAAGCCTTGTGAGTGACAAATTCTCCGAGCTTTCTTTTCCTCATTAAGTGCAATATTTGGTTGATGGGCAAAAACTTAATGATACATATGAAAAAGCGTAGAAGGTAGAACTTTTCTAGAGTCACATTAAATTTAAAGAATTAAAAAAAAAATCTCTGCCTGAAATTTTTGTGACGAAATACATTTATACTAATGTCCTCAGCTTTGTTGTATTTTCTGGAACGATGCAAAGTACCGACCACTCTCCCAACATCTTTTATATAGTATTATATATAGCCACCCTTATTCTAGGATACCCGTCTACAGGCACATTTGTGTTTGTTCAACACCCACAATGCCCACCTCTGGTTTGTGCTGCAACTATGCTGAGCAGAACGTACCGTTTCTGGGAAAGAGAGCGTTATCTAGCATGATAAACTATCTGAACAAAAACAGCACGCTCAAAGCCTCGGTCACGATGACTTGTGACTTCGTGCTAGGTCCAAGGTCACAAGGGTATCGCCTACCCAATTTCACTCACAAGGCTTGGTATAAACTGTGGTATGGTTTTCAGGCACTTTCCAAAGGTGCCTCACGCTGAGATCACCCCCTCCAGATCGATAACATCAGTAAATCGACCCTAAAAAAAAATTCCATAATTTTCATTATCCCAAGCGCTTTCGGTCACTTTATTAGCCATTATCAAGGTCTTGTTTTTGAAGTTGTTAATTTCTCCTCATATTTGACTGTTTAAGTCGTATTTTATTTTTGTGTTGTTTTGAAATATATATAAAGGGTGTTCGAATAACTTGGACCGGTTTTAAATGTGAATTAAGTTTAAGCGTCTAATGATTTTTTTTTCTTTTTCTTTCAGATTTAACAACTTAAGTCTTTGCAATGATAATGACGAGGAAACACACAGGTAAATCTTAACAAAACAAAATAAGGTATTTATTTACGAATTTATAAGCTTGAAGTTGTGTCAATAGCTCGTTTCAGGAAAATAAATCAGAAGTCCTTAGTTTTAAAGGGGAAATATTCATACGACAGATTAAATGATTTGACAGAAAATAATATTAAAAAAAACAAAACAAAACGTTTAAGATAAAGGTAAGAGATTTCGTTTCTCACCGAAGGGATTTCTGGTTTGCTTATGTTCAAAGGTAGACAAAGACAGAAATAAAGGCCGTTCCAATCACTTGGACCGATTTTAAATTTGAATTAAGTTTAAGCGTCTAATGATTTTTTTCTTTTTCTTTCAGATTTAACAACTTAAGTCTTTGGCAATTTCAACCCTGGAAAGATTAACAATCAAACAACGTGTTAAAGTTTCAAGGGTGCAAGTGCAAAAAATTGTTCGTAAATTCAAACAAACTGGGCCGGTGGCAGATGTGAAAACACCATTGCGTGCTCGTTTACGCCGTTCAGCTGAAAACATTGCTGCCGTGCACGAGAATGTGGCCGAAAATCCAGACCCCTCTATTCGTCACCGCGCGCAGGAATTGAACTTCTTCACAACAAAGTTACATTGTTTCCAATTGCGCTCTCGGTTGGTCGATTATTGTTGTGGAGTGGTTTTACAGGGGAGGCTTGTATTTGTAGTAAGTCGGTCCTAAAATAGGTTCGACGTACAAAAACGTTAAGAACTTGATATAATAGGTAATGACGCAGAGAAATCTCGTTGTGGTCGCTGATACTTTAATATCCGACTAACAGTCGTCCGGCGTCGGTTGACTGACCCCCTGAGCGACTCCTCGTTACTCTTACTACTCCTACTTATTATAGATGGGAGAGTCTATTAACTATAGAATAGGTGTATTCCACTATAACAATTATGTTGACTAAAAAAATCTTGAAGTGCGCGAAATGCATTTCTGTTTGAACGTCCATTTTCGTAATAGGCTTCGATAGCTTTAACACGTTGTTTGATTGTTAATCTTTCCATAGTTGGAATTGCCAAAGACTTAAATTGTTAAATCTGAAAGAAAAAGAAAAAAAATCATTAGACGCTTAAACTTAATTCACATTTAAAATCTGTCCAAGTTATTCGAACACCCTTTATAAACAGATAAGTAGAGTTCTTGTTAATCAAAAGTAAGATTAAAGAATAGAAAAGAAATTGAAATTTACTTACATTCACAAATAAGATTTACGAATTTGTCAGAAAGATCGGGTAAATCATTGGATGAGGAAACACTCAAGACGTGTTCAGCGTCCGTTGCAATGTTGTTGGTGATCAGTTTATCGTTCGTGTACCCAGTTGTGATGACATAGATCTCTATTCCATCTGCGTGGGCAGATTTCGCTTCTATAATCGCCTCGATGGCATCGTCGATTTTCCCGCGCAAGAAAATAATGCCTAATTTCCTCGCGCCAGGACGCCCGCCATTCATTGAAAGGAACGCCTCAAGGCGGAGATCGGCTACTTGTGGAGCTATTAAGTTGATTCGATATTCATCAAAATGGGTTTTTATCTCACTTTTGTTTTTGTACCGATTAAGCCGAAAACCTACAATATATATACACAAAAATACACGATATATAAAATATGTAATACTCTTAACACACACGTTATATATATATATATATATATATATATATATGAAGAAAAATATATACGGAAAAAACAAACAAAAATCCTTATATACAATTACGCTGTTTTAATGTTAATATGTCAACGTCGGACGTTTCGGTCTAATAAACCATCTTCAGGACATATTCATAAATTATAACATTATCAATACAACATGACAAAGACGATGTACATAAGAACAAGACTTATCCAAACGAAGCGCTGATCTTATAAAACTTTCAGTTATTTGTTTGGATAAGTCTTGTTCTTATGTACAGATATATATATATATATATATATATATAAATTAAACTAATCACAACTATTGAAGGATGAAAATCTTTGCGGATTTTGACGTCATTCTGGGGTCTTTTTTTTTACCAAATCTGTGAATTTGTTTTGTTTGTGAAAAGTCCGGAAAAAAACACGATATAAAATTCATTCCTTTTTATCCATAATCTGTTAAATTATTCTACTTTTTAACAAGAAAAATCTCAAGTTGATGTTAAAATTGCTGATTTATTTAAGATGGAATGCTCTATTACGACATGTCTCTAATTTGTATTTAGATACATTTTGTTTATTTCCAATTTATTTAGTTGAATTATTCACTCATATTGCATACTAGCCGAATTACTCACGCATTGCTGCATGTCACACATTTTTTGTAAGAAAATGATGTTTGATTTTAAAACATTGTTATAAGTTGTGGAGAAAATGCATTTCAAAATTAGTCTATAATCTTGCCAGTGTGACCTCCATCTTCTGGTTTTCTCCTATATTTTGGATTGGAGTCATTCCCTTGTTCAAATTTAAATTTGATCAAAATCAAATATAATTATCGAAGTACCCTTGGAGTCATTCCTTTCTTCAAATTTAAATTTAAAAAATATCAGTAGTCGTGTGTAGGGGGGTGCCTTCCGGGAAACAACTTTGATCAAAATGAAATATACTTATCCAAGTACTATGGTTAATGTAATTTCACGATATATATGGTTATGGGGGTCTATCTCCAAAACCCTAGGAGGAGTTCGATAAAAAAAACCAGACAGAGGCTACAACTTTATATATATAGATGATCCATTATTGTACATAATTAGATGACAATAAAATTTGTACTTTATATGAATACGATAGAGTAATGGATAGCGGCTCGGAGTGAGAAATAGGAGAGCCGAGTTCGAATTCCAGTCGAATCCATTACATTCACTTTCGTGCTAATACCCTTGGGGGAGTTATGAATCCTCTTCTTCTCCCCCCCCCCCCGCGCTATGAGTAAATAGCAGGACAGATCGACTTCTATAGCCTTGGCAGTTGATCTACCGCAGAAAGAAATGGCAACATACTGCCGGAAAAGATCTGCCTTGTCACTCATGTATCGAAAGATACATGATCGCCTACGCGTGTATCACGCATGGCACACAGCTGACCTGAGTGAATTTATGAAAATTGAGATGAAATAGTGTGGGGGCTCCATATTATAGATTTGGGTGGCACGATACCCCTGTACCAACCCTGGGGTGTATTGATGAAGCTGTTTCAAAGATAGCAAAAGTCGTAGAATAAAATGGCGCATATGTGGTTGTATAAATCTGCGTACACATATGTAAATGTCGTCTTTGAAATGCACATAAAAAAAAAAAACGCTACGAACCGGTCATGTCTGGGAAAGGAACAGTAATTATTCCAACTCGAACATCGTCATTTGCCAGGGCTTCAGTTGCGATAACGTTTTCAATAAACCTGATGATTCTTCGGGTTCCAACTTGCGATGGATTAAAGACAAAATTGATGTCCAGGAGACCATGACAGCCTACAAATTAAAAAGAAAACGAAAAGAAATGACGATTAACAGACGATTTTTCTTCTCTTTTAGCTACAGAAGAAAATCAAAATTATGATTTACTAGAACTATCTCGCTTGCTGTTTATTGTGGCATGTGGCTGCTTCCTTACTTTGCACGATTCAGCAGCATTGAACGTAATCAACAGGGACAACCGGAAGTCCCACAAATCATAAAAAAAAACTCTGATCCAGCCCTATTTGGTCTCATTCCCACTTTCCTTTTCTAAAGCTGCTATCTTCAAGGCCCAGCTCGAAGGGCTACTAAACTCTTACTGTGGGAGACATGAGGCCCTGTCTTAGGAGCTTGACTTCAGATTTCTCGTTCTTAGTCGGAACAAGCGGAGTGAATCTCCTTTCGAGACACCTACCCGAAGAAACTACTCTCAACCCTTGCTGCAGAAGACTTGTACCAATCCTAGCAGTTTGACACTCACATTTCTCATTCCTTGTGGGAAAAAGCGATGAAATCTTTTATTGGGATTTTCCCAATTATATTTGGTAACAAAAATATTGTGACGCCGGCAAGAAGAAAGGAACACAAACACAGTTGAAAATGTTTGAAAAAACTTGTATTGTAGGAAAAGAGAAGAAAGTTTCATTGCAAACAGTCGGGTTTGCGGAACTTATCTGAAAGATGCGTCCTTATAACAGTTTTATATTTCCTGTGTCGTTTTGGCTGGGTTGAAGAAAATAGTCTTGACTTCTGTGCTTCAGTTGCTGTCTAAATCCACCCACGTGTCCTGGTGTTTAGGTGACGGAGTGCAGACGGGGAACGTGTTGTCTCTGAGGGTCCCCACAAGCAAAAGAGGAAGAGAGTTTGTAAAAACCGCTCACGTGGGGGTTTGGTGAAAGTCTAAAAAGGTAGCCTGTGATTGGTTGTTTTTCATCCAATCACAGGGCACCCAGTTAGCGACTCCGTAATAATTTCAATCCTCTCTCTACGAAACATCTACTCAAGGGAAGAACTTTGTTAGCTGGGAAACGTAACTCTTTTCCCCTCAAAATACCACTATTTTTCATTCTCACTTTCAATCACGAATAAAAGCTGTTTCATGATTCCAGAAAGATCCTCAACATAACGGTCAGATGTTACAATAATCGATTGGTCTTCCTCCCGTAAAAGTAAAGGCCAAATACATCAAATTTTGCACAGTCACTCGTTCGTTGTGTAGAGGTCTTCGATGAATCAGTCTAGTCTTCCATTTCCAACCCAAATGCATCTACGCGGTTTCTTGGGTAATGAATTGTTAATTTCGAGTCTTGGATTTATTCATTCTGCTCTCTATACACTGCCGAGCACACAAATACACACACACCCACACGCACGCGCATGCACGCACGCAACCGAGAAAAGACCCATGGAAATTTCACGTTTTTCCTATTTGGATTTTCTGATGAATCTTAATTCTTAAGTTAATGATTGAACAAGCTCATGGCCGGTTCTACGACAATGAAATATCCGTAGAAATTCGCCTACCATATCGTTAAATATTTGAACTTAACAACTTTAACAAAATATTGCAATAACAATCATAAATATGAAGTAAATAATATAAAGGAGTACCAATTAAAAGATTTGAAACTTACAACTTTTCCCATTTCACTGAAACAGACGTTAAAGGCATGAGCTTTATAAAGTCTCTTGTATCATCCTTTCTTTCTTTCTTTCTTTTTTTTCTTTCATTTTCTCACTGAAACCAATCAACGTCTCTGATATGTCTTTTCCGTCCTTCTACGGAATATTGCATTATTTATGATGTATGAGAAGAATGGTTCTTTCTTTCTTTTTTTTTTCTTTCTTTTTTTTTTGCCACTGAAACCAAGCAGCGTTTCTGATATGTCTTTTCCGTATTTCTACACGATGACAACAGAATAGTCCATTATTTATTAAGTATTGGTAGGACGTAATGTACGCGATAACTAAGGAGCTAAAGGATGGACAAACAGAATTATAATAAGATAATATATTGAGAATCGAAATATTGTTATATCTAAGAAAAAGAAATCCCTTTGTCATATATATATATATATATATATATATATATATATATATAAATATATTTAAAGAAAAACAGACCACTTTAAGGTTCCATTATAATAATTTATTTCACCAGAGCTCTTTTTAAGGGACGCTGGATCATCAGATAACACTTCCAAAAAATGAAACGAAAGATGAAATGAAAATTAACACTTTTGACGGGCAGTATTAAGTTTCAAACAATTCAGCAGACGATGTGATTTTATTTAATTTATTGCAATTTGATTGTTGACTCGATACTGTGTATGTGAAAAATGGCGCTTTTATCGGTCGCCATTAACCTCGCCCTTTTGACTGAAATAAAAGTGTAGTACCTGTTATTATTAGCTAAATCTGATTTTCTCTCTCCCCACTTCTATCTTCCATTCCTTCTTTCTTTCATTTTCTTACTGCATCCAAGTAATGTGTTTTCCATGCTATCAAAGATCACAGGCAAATTAAATTCGGACCTAAAAAACACTCTTTTGCTTAAAGAGGGAGGACTGTAAGGACTTAATGTACATAGGTTTTAATATTGTCAAGTCAAAGTCAAAATATTCCTGACTTAGAACATATCTTTATGATAGGACACAGAAGCTATGTCGGTTATGTAGCTATTGTTGGAAGCGGACTATGGATAGGGAAAGCGAAAGAGAAAACAGCTCCACAATTTCTTCCATATTATTATAGACACTTTATGCAGTTTTCAGAATTCGGATGTGCAGGTGGTGTGAGGGATATCGACTCGGAATAAGAAATCGGGGGGCCGAGTTCGAATTCCAGTCGAGTTCGTTACATTCACTTACGCACAGATACCATTGGAAAAGGTATGTCCACCATCTCTTCTCTCCAGCTATGGACTAAATAGCACAGCAGATTGGTACCTATAGCCTAGTTTCGAAGAAAGTAACGGCAGCCTACTGCGGGAAAATCTTCCGCCAGTTCAATGATGAATTGTAAAGAGACATGATCGCACCTGAGGAAGGAATTGAGAAGCCATAAAAGGTTGATGGACATTTTAATTCTAGCACTTACCTTTGTTTTTATCAATCACAGGTTGCGTAGTGACTTCACTGATGTCTACAACAAGAAGAAAACAAATATAAGACAACTATTCATAAATATGCGTTCCTGCGTAATATACAAAGGTTGGTCAAAAATAACGATCGCTTTTCTTTAATTACAACAGAATTGAAGTATACAATGCGCACCAAATTGAACACAAAGGTCTTGGGATTCCAAATCTAGTCGGCAAAATAGTCTCTTTCCTTCTCAATTGGAATATATATATATATATATATATATATATATATATATATATATATATATATATATTATAAATTAATTGATTTAAAATATGGTTATTTTCGCTACACAGTTCCAACCATGTTTCAAAATAGAAGCTAAAACCCCTAATTTTATTTTTTGCAAATAAATTAAAAGCCTTAGTTCCATTTCATCTTCAAGCGAATTTTGGAGTAACTTTTAAAATTTACCGGGTTTTAAATACACAGCTAAAATCACGTTTCCATGGTTACAGAATATTCTACTCAAATTGAACACGGGGGGTGTCTAAATTTTCCTTATGACAGTATCATTGTATCAGTTATTAGCTACATTTTGGTAAGGGGTGAGGATGTATTTTACTCTGAAACCTGACGTCAGTTGAATGGATGTCGTCTGAATTTAAAAAAAAAAAAAAAAAAAATTGTTAACGGTAAAAATTTTCAACGTCATCTTTTAAAATTAAAGATTTTTTTTTTTTTTTTTTAATACTTTTATTTAACTACGATTTGAAATATTTTCCTTTTTAATTTTTATCTTACTATATTCTTTTTAAGAACAGTTAAATGTATTAGAATCCATTATATTATGTAGGATTATTTTAACATTAAGTTTAAGTATGTATATGAGGTTACATTTTTTTTTTTTTTTTTTTGTATATGACTATGACAGCAGAAATGGTTACTTAATTTCACTGATTCAGTAAACTTTTTTTTTTATATATAAACCTATTATTATAATATTTCACATGTAAGTACTGAGGACATGGGTCATTCAAAAGCTTACATGTTATGGTATTTCATATTAATTTTATTTTACTGTAGGTGTTATTTTTGGAATCTTTTTAATGCGTGTAGTATTATTTAAAAGAAATTTAGGTTAGAATTCATTCAATTTAACTACAATTTTAATTACAAATTCAAAATTACAACTTTAAAATTTTAAAATATTTTCATTGTTTAGTTTTAATAGACTATATTACTTTATAACAGAAGGAAAATTACTCATATTAAGTAAGATTATTTTTCCATATCAAAGTATATGTAAATTTTTTTTTTTTTTTTTTTTAAATTTAAATATTATTTAAGTAATATTAATGGCACTTACTACAAAACTAGCTAAGTCATTTCTCAGATTTAGTAAACTTTATTTATTTATTAATTAATTAATTTATTTATTTCAAATATATGTAACCTAATTAATAAAGTTTCATATGTATGTATAAATAACATGTTAGAATTCATTTTATTTTACTACAATATTTCAAAAGTTTAAAGTTTGTAATTTTAAAATTGAAACTAAAATTAAAGTTATTAATGCTCTGTAAATTTACATTGAGCACTATTTTGTAAAAATAAAATATCTATAAGAACACCGGATTTTATATCTTACTGTTCTTTCTTTTTTTTTTATATATATATATATATATATATATATATATATATATATATATATATATATATATATATATGTGTATTTAGGCAGTATTATTAGCAGACGTTATGAAAAGAATTTACATAAAATAAATAGACAACACATGTCTATATTATTTAATGAAACATGTATATATATATATATATATATATATATATATATATATAAAAAAAACAGACCACTTTAAGGTTCTATTATAATAATTTATTTCACCAGAGCCCTTTTAAGGGACGCTGGATCATCAGATGACACTTCCAAAAAATGAAACGAAAGATGAAATGAAAATTCACACTTTTGACGCGTAGTATTAAGTTTATGTAATTTAACAGAGAGGGTAGCGAGGAGTGGGGTGAGAGACATTGTCGAGTTTAGAGAGGGTTTATTTTAATATTTTTTTCAATCATACTTAGTATTGGGGGAGGATGGACCAGACCTTGACCTATTTAAACGGTTAACTTAACGGAAGTGATATATTGAAATGGGAGGGGAGAAGGGAGAAAAAGAAAAAGAAAAAAGAAAGAAGGGGGAAGCAAAGAGAAAGAAGCTGTACGTAGGTTTTACGTAGGAAGAAGAGGGCAGGTATATTTTTAGCAATTTATGTAAAAAAATAGATTTAATGTTTGATAGTAATTTAAATGTTCCAAAAAAAAAAAAACACGAAGAAATTAATTTGATGCTTGCTAGCAATTTAAATATTTTACTCTTTTACAAATAATTTAGGGATTTAATATAACTTAAATACTGTATTTATTAACACATTCATAGAGAACACATTAAAAGGATTTTTTTAAAATATACCAGTTTACTGATAGTAATCTTGTAATATTGTAAATGATTGTTAAGGTAACATCTTTATCAGTTTGAATGTAATTCATGAATGTAATTTGTAACTATTTTTAGATGGGTAATCTTCCTTACTTAAAGTTTAGGTTTCAAATTAAGATGGAGTAATATTTGAAGGTAATATTAAAAATTTTTTTTTTTCCTTATATATATCCCATATATACTTATGTAAATTTTACATATACATGCGTTATATATATATATATATATATATATATATATATATATATATATATATATATATATATATATATATATATATATGAGTTCTTCTGGACACTGTCGTATTTCCCTTTCTGTCTGCCGTGCGCCGATAGCTTAGGGGCAGAATCTTTGACATGCCAAATCGGTCGAGTTTCGATTCCGGCTTGAAATAATCGGCCGTCTAGCCACACTGAAGAGCTGTGATACAGCGAAACAGTCTGTCTGTCGATGACTATACACACACACATATATATATATATATATAATTACTAATATATATATAATTACTGATATATATATAATTACTGATATATATATATATATATATATATATATATATATATATATATTAGTAATTATCTGTCAATCTCGGGAGACAATGGAGTCTATATAGAGCGGCTAGCTAACATCCTGCCGACGCCTGCTCAGGCATATTTAGGTTTCTTCACAGACCTTAGTTACATTTTCTGTGAGCGCATAATTTAGCGTGATTAGGTGTTTGCACAATATCAGTACACTCAGCAGACCCCCGGTGTCTCCGTGCTAGTACAGGGCGCGGCAGAAATACCTCCCACATTTTAATGCTTTACAAAACGACTAAGGGTACTGCTATTAAAAGAATTATTTCACTGTTGTTTAAACAAAGGGCTACAGTTTTATTTTTATTTTGTTTTGAAAATGACATCCTCAAAATGGTGGCCTCTATTTGCCATAAAAGATTGTAGGTAATTTCTAAAGTTTTTCATCTCCCGAAAAATCATTTCTGGCGGTATTTCTGTCACTTTTTGTCGAATAGCATTCTTGAATTCTTCTAGGGCTGCTGATTGATGTTTGTAGATCCCAGCTTTGAAGTAACACCGGAGAAAATAAGCTCAGTCGGTGGGAGAGATCGGGCGAGCGTGCAGGCCATCCAGTGTTACCGCGTAAGGAAATAAAATGTCCCGGAAACGTCTCCCGCAAAGCTTCCATTGATATTCTCATTGTCTGCGCTGTGGCTCCATCCTGTTGAAACCACACACCCCGACTCCCAAGGTCTTTGTCTTGGTTCCAGAAAAGTCCTCAGCATCTCCTCATGATGTTATTGTAACCGATTGGTCTTCCTCCTCATACACCAAATTTCGTACAGTTCGCTGTGTAGAAGTCATCCATAAAGCTGCCTAGGCTCCATTTTCCAGTCGAAAAGCGTCTACGCGGCCTTGTGGTTGATGAATTGTTTTCTACCTTACAAGCACTTTCTCACAGACGAAACTATGCAAACCTCCTGCACAGAACACATTCAAACGAGCTACATTCCTTAGTTCCACCAACTCTAAGCCTTCCAGCTTAGACCCACCACACCCATTCCATTTGTATTCCATTAGTAGGAAGGAAGTGCCACTCGAACAGCTTCTTCCCACGAACCGCTAGATCGTGGAATTAATTCCTAAGTGGATGATTTCTCGGCCACCACAATCTTATCCTCTTCCATTCTAGGGTTCACCGTTAGCTTTCCCACATATCCTCATAAGCTACGCCTCTTACCTCTTACTATAATCGTTCATACAACAACCTCCTTCAGTAAACCTCTACCTTGAGTGGCTCTTGGGTCTTGTATGGTTTACTAAGCCTTCTTTCCTCATTATCAGATCATCAGTAGTGATTAAATGAAAGTAGTTTTATTTTAAAGGCTTTAGAATTTACAAGCCATTCCTTGCCCCAGTTAATCACTGATTGGAGGTCCTTTTCGTGATCAGCTGCTATTTTTATATTGTCGGACCTGTCTGGTTTGCTATTAAAAAAGGTGTAAATAATTCTCACATCAGCATAAATACCGATTTGGGAATTGATGAGATCAGAAAAGTCGTTGAAAATAAGAAACAACATCTTTTTTTATCAGGAAAAGAAGAAAATGATATTTACATGTATTTTTATCCATTTGTATCATTTGTAGCATAGTTATTTATTTTAAAATATTTTTTAAAATTCCATTGTTATAGTAAAACTAGTCATAATCCCTTCAAATGGCGTTTCGTGTTATTACAATAGAATTTTACAATTTGATAAGAAAATTGCACGGATTTTTATTTTAATTTTCTGACGTTATCTTAATTCTTAGGTTAATCATTGTAGAAATTCTTCATAGCCTAATCATAATTATATTCTTTCGTCGTTATATATTTTTGATTTTTGACAGCAAGACCAGTAATAAGGGCAAAGCGTAATGGTCATGCAAACTAAGGAAGGGAGGGCACGGTTTTCCCATTTGATTTTTTTTTTTTTTTTGGTGAATCTTAATTCTTAGTTTAATCATTGAGTAAGCTCATGGCGAGTTGTACGGCAATAAAAAAAATCCGTAAAAATTCCCCTATAGCTTCGTTAAATATTTGAGCTTAACAACTTTAACAAAATATTGCAATAGCAATCATAAATATGAATGC